TTTTTTTTTTTCTTGAGAACCACTGCTTAGTGGACAACCTTTTCTGAAACCTACAGTGAGGTTAAGGAGACTCACTTAAGTAAACCTATCAGTGCTTAAGGTCAACCTGTGAGATTTCTTGGGAAGTAGTAACTTTCCTTGAATAGTTACTGTGAGCTGAGCTCCCCACTAAGGGCTTTACATGCAGTGTTGGGTAAGCTTCAAAAATGATTCTTTGAGGAAGATGTTACAATTCTTCAGTTTCACAAATGAGGCAGCCGAGGCTTGTAGATGCTAAGTAACTTGTCTGAAGGTGCACACGCAACTTATAAAGTGGCAGAGTCAGAATTTGAACTCAGGTCTGCCTGCGTTCTCAGCCTTTATGCTGGACTACGTCAGATCCCAAATCAGTATAAGTTACTTTGCCTTTTTCAGCTTCAGATTTTTCTTCTTCAACGCAGTGTGACTACAGAGCGAGACCCTCTCTTGTAAAAATAGAAATAATGATGATAGTGTAAATGCGTGCTACCTCGATTTCCTCCTACATGCCTTTTCAGTTTATTTATTAATAATTTTTCATTTCTAAATATTGCTGCTACTTAGCCAGGGATGAACTTTCACTTGTCTAGTGAGTGTCCAGAGATAACCTTTTGCACTAAGTGATTGATTTTAAGAAAAAACCTTTTAACCAGTTATTTTATTATGGCAGTTGTCCCAACCTGATGCACATTAGAATAATCACACAGAAAACTTAAATCTGTATGTATATGGACAGTCACACATGTACACACAAATAAATATAAATAAATAGATATTAATATTAGTGCTCAGCCTCCATCCTGAGAGGTAGGTTTTAGTGGATCTAAAATAGAATTTGAGCAGCGTCCCTAGGTAATTCTAACTAGTAGCAGCCAGATTTGAATACTATTGTATTAAAGTGAGAACTAGCAGAGTTTGGGATTGAGTTTCAAGTGGCAAAAGGGAAGTAGGAATGAACTTCAGTCATTTTCTTGTGTTCCTCAGCTACAGGGAAACAACCCAAAATAAGAGAAAAATCCAAGGTCACTGAGAATCCACAGGGGTTAGGAAATGAAGTAGCTTTTTCCTTTTTTGTCGTTGTAGACATGGAAGGACTTTAATGAAACTTTCAACGGTTTGACAAAGGATGCTCTAATGGATGACAGCGGTACTCCTGCACAGAATCTGCTCATTGAACCGCAAGGTGGGTGTCATCCTGGTGACAATGTGGAAAGGAGTGTCACACGCCTGCCTTCTGCATCAGATGAAAATGAAAATCAGCTCGATGGGGAGGGAAATGAACGTCTGACCAGCAGTGACAACGCGATGGGAAAACCCGGAGTGTTTGAGCAGGACAGTCTGAACAATAACGAAAGCTGCATGCTGAGCTGTGAGGCAGCAGCAGGGGAGACCCTGGAAAACCCTGCTTGTGAAGAGCCCAACAATGGACAGGCTTTCTTGGGGACGGACAAAAAAATACCTGGAAAAAGAAGTGCAAGGAGCCAAAAAGGCACTGCTAAGAAGATACCACCAGGTATTTAAAAAAATTACTTACCCTGTTCTTTATTTAAAAATGAACCTCCTTCCCATCGCATACCGTGTGTCGTCCTGCCCGTTGCTTTTCTAACTTAGAGAAGCGGTTCTCAACCTTCCTGATGCTGCGGCCCTTTAATACAGTTCCTGTGGGTCGCGACTGCTGTCTTAGAGCATTCTGGAGCTGGTTCCACAGTAGAACACGTACATCCAGCTGGGTGGTATTCTAGGCCTGTGGGATGTCTCCACAGCATTCCACCGTATGGGTGTGAACATAATTCATTTAATGACTTCCTTATGGCTGTTCCCAGTCTTATATATAATAAATGGTGTTGACATTGACATTTGTTGTACATATTTTCACACTAGGTACTTTAAATATATACAGTCGCCTTCCTTTATAAATTAGATCCCTTTCTACCAATATCAGCCTTTAAAATGTCCTTCTGTGACTTTGATCTCTAACCTATGAGTGTATATGCTAATCTGACCTCTTTTTAAGATCATTCCATCTCCTTCAGTGGGTGAATAATATACCAAGATACATATATATCTTATGTCAGCATTGAATAAGACATCTGGTTTTAATTATCTATATCACTTTGGTTACAAAGTAATTCAGAGTGTTTCTTATTTGGTATATAGTTTGGCAGTTAAAGTTTCGGACTGTTGACTTATTTGTCTGAATCATAGGGTACCCTTGGGAAAATGCAGCCTCTGATTATTTTTGATCAGAAACATGTGGGACTGGAGTTCTGGTAGGTCCTACCCTGGATTCCTCAGTGTAGCACAGCTTTACACAAGCCAACAGCTTTGGCGTAAGCTGTAGTGAACAGAGTGGACCGTCTCCTCTCATCTTCTCTTTTCTACTTCTACTTCTCTGGCTAATTAGAAATATAGTCACTATCTATATCTTTTTTTTTATTTGGAATAAAATACAAAATTTCCAGCTTCTATAAATTAGTCCATGTTTATTCAGTAAGATAATTTGATAACTTTGAAAGGTAATTCATTATTTAGCTTCCTGGTTAATGTCATTCATAATTTGACCTGTCATTTTCCCTTTGTCTTTTGCTTAGTAAACTTAAATACAAATAATTTTTGATGAGGGATGTGAAAAAGCATTTTCTTAAAAGCTCTAAGGTTAAATAGATGATATATATGCATTATTTGCTTATAAATTGATTTACATACAAGTAAATTGATGTCTATGTGTATTATAGCTATTATTCAAGGGCAAATTGACCATGCCTTTCTGATCTGATTTTTTCATGTTTTAAAGAAGGGATACCTAGTTGCATATCTGTAAGTATCCATCATAGGTTCTTTTTCTTCTCCCTTCCATGGCTTTATTATTCCTGTTTCTGTAGGTGTGATTATGTAACTTGAACTTCCTTGGTATTTATTATCTGATATGTTAGATTAACTATACCCAAATGCATTTGAAATACATGGTTTCTAAAACTTAAGGATAGTCTCTATACAGCTTATTTTAAACATTTTTTTTTATCTTTTTTGGGGTTTTTTTTTGAGACAAAGTCTCACTTTGACACCCTTGATAGAGTGCTATGGCATCATAGCTCACAGCACCTCAAAATCTTGAATTCAAGCTGTCTTCTTCCTTCGGCCTCCCGAATAGCTGGGACTACAGGTGCCTGACACAGTGCCCAGCTATTTTTAGAGACGGGGTCTTACTACTCTCTTACTCAGGCCGGTCTCAAATTCCTGAGCTCAAGCATTCCATGCACCTCAGCCTACCAGAGTGTTAGGATTACAGGCACGGGCCGGGTGTGGTAGCTCATGCCTATAATTCTAGCACTGTGGGAGGCAGAGGTGGGTGGATTGCTTGAGTTTGCGAGTTCGAGACCAGCCTGAGCAAAAAGTGAGACCTCTTCTCTACTAAAAATAGAAAAAACTGAGGCAAGAAGATCACTTGAACCCAAAAGTTGGAGGTTGCTGTGAGCTATAATGATGCCCCAGCACTCTACCCAGGGTGACAGCTTGAGACTGTCTCAAAAGAAAAAAATAAGGATTCAGGTGTGAGCCACTGCACCCGGCCCTGCCCCTGTTTTATGTATCTTATATAAAGTGAGTTTAAAGAGAGTAAGAAAACAGAATCAGGGGTGGTAAAACCTTCGTGTAAATCTCACATAGTAAAACTGAACCCGTCTTTTACTTCAGTGTCTTCATCTGCATGGTGATGACCTTCATCTACATAAATCTATACAATGCCTTTTTAAATTTCTAAATTGCGTAGGTTTCTGAATGGAGATGGTATAGTCCATATTCCCTTAAAATTTGGTGATTTGCAGCTACACAAGAGAACAACGCAAATTCAAGGAGAGGGGTTTGGTAAGCCCTCGCCTGAGGGGCCCAAGGTAAGGGGTATATGACACACCTCCTGAGTGAAGAGCTGAACTACAACTTGGACTTCACCTAACCAATGCAAACATTTAATCAGAAAAATAACAACTTTGACAATTCACCTCTAGTGCGTCTACAGAGGTTTTGTATCCAAGGAGTACATTTTTGTCTTTTAAATTTTGTTGTTAAATTAAAAGAAAGGACAAGTTTGAGTAGGCTAAAAAATTTTAAATCGAATGGAAGGATTCTTTTTGGGGGTGGAATCATTCCTTTCTACATGAGGAATGGACATACAACTGGAAGGAGTTTTAGGATTGCCTAAGGAGCTTTCCACAGAGTTTTCTTGCTAGGGCCCCACCCCTGGGAATTTGCTTTAGCTTATCCGGTCTCAGTGCGGATCCAGTCACCACCTGATTTCTCTAGTTGGTCTGTTTCCCTCCATCTCCACTGCCATCCTTCAGCAGCATCTGTAACTGGAATACTGCAAAATGCCCCTAAATATGTTTCCCATCTTGATTCCATTCTCCCTACCAGAATTAACAACGCAAGAAAATTAAAACATATTCGCTCTCCTTTTGTCTGTTAAATTCTCAGGTCCTAAGTAAATGAAGTTTCAAAATTTTGCAGATGAGTAGTTAAACAAACTTACTCTTATGTTCCCTTCCCTAATTCATAGACAGCTAAAACTTTAAAATTAGCCCTAGGGAAGTCCAGTTATCATTATGTTTTGAGCTTTTATTTTCCTTAAGACAGTGGTCCCTAACCTAGTGGAACCAGGGACTGATTTCATGGAAGACACGGGGGCAGGGGTGGGCAGGGCAGATATTTAATCCTGGGAGCAAGTAGCCACCTAGATCCCTCAAATGCACAATTTATAGTAGTGTTCGTGCTCCTTTGAGAATCTAATGTCACCCCGATCTGACAGGAAGCAGAGCTCAGGCAGGATGTGAGCAATGGGGAGCTGTTGTAAATACAGGTGAAACTTCATTGCTTACCTGCCACTCGCGCCCTGCCTTGAGGTTGGGTTCCTAACAGGCCACAGACTGGTCAGGGCCCAGGTCTGGAAACTGCAGCCTTAATAGAGTTGAATCCTCTTGATACAGTTAATTAAGCAGGGATTCATGCTGTACTCAACAGGTTTTCACTGTAGTTAAAACTGGCATAACTTTAGGCTAAACTGTTATTCTAAAAAGTAGTGGAAAATATCTTACGAATATCTTAACAGATTTATTACAATATGATTGACATACATACAACTCACTCATTTAAATATAAAATTCATTGATTTTAGTATATTCCCAAAATAATGCAATTGTCACATTTAATTTTCATACATATCTATCACTACACAAAGAAACTCCATAGCCATTAGTACTCCGCATTTCCACTGAGTCATCACAGCCCTAGGCAACCATTAATCTATTTTATTTTTCTATAGATTTGCCTACTCAGAACATTTCTCTTTTTTTAATTATTTATTTTTGTTTATTTTTTATTGAGGTAAAATACAGATATATAATATTTCATCTTTACCATTTTTAAGGATTTAGGTCAGTATAATACGATTTGATATATATATATATATATTTTTTTTTTTTTTTGAGACAGAGCCTCAGGCTGTCCCCCTGGGTAGAGTGCTGTGATATCACAGCTCACAGCAACCACCAACTCCTGGGCTCAAGCGAGTTCTCCTGCCTCAGCCTCCCAAGTAGCTGGGACCACAGGCGCTCGCCACAACGCCCGGCTATTTTTTTTGGTTGCAGCCATCATTGTTGTTTGGCAGGCCCAGGCTGGATTCGAACCCGCCACCTCAGGTGTATGTGGCTGGCGCCTTAGCCACTTGAGCCACAGGCACCGAGCCATATTTTTTTCTTTATCCCCCTCCCTCCTCTGGACATTTCATATCAGTGGAATCATAGAATGGCTGGACTTTAATGAGCGGCTTTTTTCATTTTACAAGTTTTCATGGTTCATGTTCTGTACTTTGCTCCTTTTTATGGCCAAAAATTATAATATTCCCTTGCCTGGATATACCACAGTCCATTTATACAGTCATCAAGCTGATGAATGTTTGGCTCCTTTCTACTTTTTGGCTATTATGAATAATGCTCCTGTGGACATCCATGTATACATTTTTGTGTGAAAATATGTTTTCTTTCTCATGGCCATATTAGTATATTGCTAGGAGGAGAATTGCTGGATCATATGGTAACTTTATGCTTATTCTTTTTTTCTTATTGTTGGGGATTAATTGAGGGTACCAAGAACCAGGTTATATTGATTGCATTTGTTAGGTAAAGTCGCTATCGTAATTGTGTCCTGCCCCCAAGAGGTGTGTCACACCCTATGACCCCCCACCCCTCTCTATTCTTACATTTTGAGCACCTACCAAACTGTCTTCCAAAGCTGATGTACCATTTTGCAATCCTACCAGCAGAATGTGAGGGTTACAGTGAGATGTAATTTGCATATCATAAAGTTCGCCTTTTTAAAAGTATACAATTTTGTGACTTCAGTGTGTTCACACAGTTGTATAGCTCTCACCAGTATCTAATTCCAGAACGTTTCTTCTCCTTGAAACCATCAGCAGTCACTCATTCTTTCCTCCACCAACCCCTGACAACCACTAGGCCATAA